GGGGGGGGGAAGGAGAGAGAGGGAAAAGAGATGGCAAGTGTAGTTTCTTTTAGTAAATCGTTTTTTGATGCCTTCCTCAATTTTATTTGCATCAGAGAAGAAAGTCTTAAATGGAGAAGCCCAGACAGGCAGGAAGATATTTCTCTTGCACGTAGATAATGAACTTTGGGTAGCAGCTCACAAGGAAGAGAGGAGATGAATTGGCAGAGAAGGAGAGAGAGGGAAAAGAGATGGCAAGTGTAGTTTCTTTTAGTAAATCGTTTTTTGATGCCTTCCTCAATTTTATTTGCATCAGAGAAGAAAGTCTTAAATGGAGAAGCCCAGACAGGCAGGAAGATATTTCTCTTGCACGTAGATAATGAACTTTGGGTAGCAGCTCACAAGGAAGAGAGGAGATGAATTGGCAGAGATGCAGATGGCATGGTGATGTGTGTGGTGCAAAAACCGAATGGCTAGCTTAGACAGTGCAGCTCCCCTCGGTGCAGAAAAAGAAGGAGCATCAAGAAGTCAGAGTGCATTGGCCTCAGTAAGAGCTAGTCAGTCAAGGGCTGCTCTTACCCCACTAGCACAGGGCACCCCCCGTACAACCACTCACTGCTCCCTTCCTCCCTCACTTTCAGGGTGGGGCAGCTGGCACAGGAGCTGCCTCCGTTATCTTTATGCCAGCAGGGCTATGCCATGGAAAATCCCCTGATCACCATTTAAGGATCAAATCTGGCCCTTCTGTAGAGCTGGATCTTAGATGAGAGCTCTTGGGAAGCCATCTGCTACGGCAGAGGGAGAGACACACTCTCTGGTTTACTAACATGAATGAATTGCACACTAGGCCATTACACTGTCTAGATGCTGACTGAGGAGTCTGTGAAATGCAGGAGCCACCAGCTGGGAGGGCGAGCCAGGAGGCGGCGTGTTCTCCCCGTGCCACGGCCGTGAGTAACGGTGAGTCACCAAGCTGTGGTGCAAGGGAGCTGACAAGGACAGAAGCCTTCCAGCTGCCACTGGCAAGTGCTTCCCCCACAGCTCTGCTGGAAGCGCAGCAAGTTCACTTCAGCTGAAGCTAATTGACTTTCTTCGCCTGTATCTTTGCAGATGCTGTTTCCTGGCTTCAGCTGAGCTTGGTGCAGCTGCAAGGATTAAAGCCTCCAATTTCTATCCGAGAGTGTTAACAAAAAAAAGTAGCAAATCTTTTTCACAGGGCCACTTGAAAGAGCGTCTGCCAGTGAATAACGGTGCTACGGCCCATACAAATCCAGGCTGAGATGGGTCATTGCCAATCTTGCAAAACCCTTTCTATAAGATCAGAGAGAATCCTTTTACTCCCCTGCCTGCTCACCATGACTAAAAGGTTGGCTTCAAACAAGAATGTAGGTCAATGCAATACTTTGCAAAGGTGCCACTGATCATAGTACTCACAGTACTCTATGCCCAAGACAATGTCCTTAAAGTAGAGCCGAGCCTGCTCTTCGGTGAAAGGCTGGTCAGTTGGAACCTCCATGACAGGTCTGAAAGGAAAAAGGGAACATTACCAAGTGCCCAGTTCACGGGAAATAATACTCATTTGAAGGAGTGTGGTTGAGCAGTTAGAGCAGTCAGCTAGTAAACAAAGCCCTGGGGTTCCATTTCGGTCTGTGACTCTGCATGGTCTCGAGCAAATCATTTCAGACCAGATTTCCACAAGTGCTGCGCAAACACAACGGGGGCCAGATATTCAGCTCAGCTCCCATTCAGGTACCTACAGAAGTGATGCCGGAGGATGAGCGTTTTTAAAAATCTGAAACAAAAAACAGGACTACGTAGCACTTTAGTATTCATTTTTTTTAATTGTATCCTTTGGTAATTTATGATTGTGCCAATTTTCTTCCACTATTTGATCTGAGGAAGTGGGTCCGGCCCACGAAAGCTCATCACTTAATAAACCATCTTGTTAGTCTTTAAAGTGCTACGTAGTCCTGTTTTTTGTTTCAGATTTTTAAAAACGCTCATCCTCCGGCATCACTCGTTCTGACACTTAGGGACAAATTTTGAAAAAACCC